GTATGGAGTCCGGGTGAATGCATAAACTCGTTCTTTAGATGATCGGTCATCAGTTGGAGGCTGTCAGGGCGGCGTTTGGTCGATTACAGCCTAGTTTCACTATCAGCCACGGCCGATAAGTGCTCCAATATTACTGTACTATAGTTAGTAAATGTTTAAGGGACATTCTGTTCCTCCAGGGGGCGCTAGGTGACTCAGAAGGGCGAGTCCCCATTGAGGATCATTCAAATGTCATTACGTGTTTTGTCTTACTGGAGACATTTGTAGATTAGAAAGTATCATCTTTTAATCCGAGACTGATTCCTGACATGTGAGTGGAAACCGCTTCAGAAGAATGCGGTTTTAAAGCAGCCGTGGTAGTAACTGCTAGAGATTGTGATTGGTCCGTTTAGTGCAGCGCTGAGAAAAGTAACAGGTGTCATGTGACCCTGTCTTTGCGATGTTTCTTCAGCAGTCTAGATAATAATTTACAATTGAGAAATGATACTGATAGACTTTAATTTATGTTGAACTGAGAATAGATTGTATAGAACTGAAGTAGGAAAAATAATTTTTATCCCGATCGCTAAGCCCCGCCCATCCTACGCTTGTTTCTGTTGATGCCGTTCTACCCGTTTTCGCTTCTGAACGTGACTGCGTCACAGCACGCTACGCAAACTCCACGAAACGTGTCATCAAACCATCTTCAAACATTTTGTATTTCTGCTTTTTTGATTCATCTTAAGTTCTTTTTTTTTTAATGAACAAACATAACTTTTTTAAAAATAATAAAATATATTTAAAACAAATATATTCATATATACATATGTAACTCGTAAACAAAGGCGAAAAGGTGTTGCAATAACAGTATTGATTTAGCTGTATTCATGTTTACCAGTCGAAGGTCGCTGATAAAGTGTGAGGAGTTTGAAAATATCATTCAAGTGAAAATGTTGCAGTGACCACAAGGGGGGACCAAACACTTAAAAACAACTTCTCCAAAGTGATTAGATGGTTGTTTTAATGCTTTATTAAGAAAAATATAACAATAATAAATGTCCAGTGATGCAACTGACAAATGTCAATCATGTTTTGTCTGAATCATCTCTCAGATGTGTTGGTTTCGGATCATCTGGATTATTTCTTGATGCCTCCTTTATTGATTCCCCCGCAAAAAATTCCAGGGCCTCGTCCCCTTGAACTCTTCGGACTGATTCTCCTTTAGCAGCCAAGATTTCCTCTATGTTTCTATGGCAACACAGAACATACAGCAAGTCAAAGGTTTTGTCAATGCTTCGGGTTTTCCAACTCGGGCCCAGGGGATTAAGCTAGATTCAAATAAATAATAAAAACAATTCTGCCTTTATATATCTCGCAATTCTGCCTTTATATATCTCGCAATTCTGCCTTTATATATCTCGCAATTCTGCCTTTATATATCTCGCAATTCTGCCTTTATATATCTCGCAATTCTGCCTTTATATATCTCGCAATTCTGCCTTTATATATCTCGCAATTCTGCCTTTATATATCTCGCAATTCTGCCTTTATATATCTCGCAATTCTGCCTTTATAGATGTCGCAATTCTGCCTTTATAGATGTCGCAATTCTGACTTTATAGATGTCGCAATTCTGACTTTATAGATGTCGCAATTCTGACTTTATAGATGTCGCAATTCTGACTTTATAGATGTCGCAATTCTGACTTTATAGATGTCGCAATTCTGACTTCATATATGTCGCAATTCTGACTTCATATATGTCGCAATTCTGACTTCATATATGTCACAATTCTGACTTTATATATGTCACAATTCTGACTTCATATATGTCACAATTCTGACTTTATATATGTCGCAATTCTGACTTTATATATGTCGCAATTCTGACTTTATATATGTCGCAATTCTGACTTTATATATGTCGCAATTCTGACTTTATAGATGTCGCAATTCTGACTTTATATATGTCGCAATTCTGACTTTATATATGTCGCAATTCTGACTTTATAGATGTCGCAATTCTGACTTTATAGATGTCGCAATTCTGACTTTATATATGTCGCAATTCTGACTTTATATATCTCGGAATTCTGACTTTATATATGTCGCAATTCTGACTTTATATATGTCGCAATTCTGACTTTATATATGTCGCAATTCTGACTTTATATATGTCGCAATTCTGACTTTATATATCTCGCAATTCTGAGAAAAAAACTTTTTTTTTTTTTTATTCAGTGGCGGAAACAGGCTTCCATAGATAAGAGCTTGAGGTAAGCAGTTTTATGTTTTAGGCCATGTCGTATTTTTATTGGTTGGTCAGTAAACCTGGATCGTAGCAGCAAACACACTGTGCGATGATCATGCTGAATCGTAGGCTATCTTTGACCTTCGTGACAACAACAGTCGTCTTTGAACCTCACTCACTGTATGACATAAGAGCACCGATTAGGAGCCCCGATTGTCTCCCGATGTCAATCTTTCGTCTGGGACAGCCGAAGATCGTGCAGTGTGTTTAGGACTTCAAACATACACACCTTTTCCCCTCCAGGTCAGAGAACCACTTCAGATTATCAGCGATCACGTGGTGGTTTTTACATCCAGGGCAAGTTACAATGACAACACCCTTGTGATAGGCTATCTTGGATATTTTCTTCATAGAGCGGGTGGAGCACACCTAGAGACAAAACATACAATTAAATGACTGAACATTACCCAAGTAGTCAAAAGTTCCCCTAAATAAGAAGTCAAGCACAGACAGGAGAAGTATAATCTTACTTTGCAGGTGTAAACCAGGTGATAGTGTGTTGACTGCAGCTGTCCAATGGCTTCAGCCCTGCTTCCAGAAGTCGTGAAGCTCCTGCAGAAACTCAATCTGCCTCCGCTGTGTGCCACAGAAGTCCCCAGTAACGAATGAGAGAGATGTAAGGTGTTCGGAGCTCTTTTCTGTGCCTCCTCATGCTCGCCTCTAGCAGTACTACATGATGTTTTGGTTACCGCACCACGTGATCTGGGAATTCTCGGTCTGAATAAAAAGAAACATAATCGAGAAGTCATTATGTGCTAACTGTTCTGTTTAAACACACGCAATCTCTCTACTGAGGCTCAAATGTCATATTTGTCTTATGCGAGTTGAACCACTCGTCGCTTGCCGATGACGTCAGAGACGCACCGAAGCCCCGCCCATCATGTTTATCCGCCAGTGACGTGTGGATTACATCAGTTTGAGATGAGAGACTCAAATGTTTTTCTTCTTCTTCTTCTTCTTCTTCTTCTTCTTGTTTTATGGCGGGTGGTATCCAACGTTAAGGTGCATTACCGCCACTTACTATACTGGAGTGTGGACCAGAGTGACTAACAGAACTTTATATATAAAAAATAATAATAATAATAATTTTTATAAAAACACTTAAAAAAAACAAAAACATTTTAAATAATAAAATAACAATTATACTTTATATTCTATTTATTAACTGTTTCCCTCAAGAATGCAATTAAAGAATTATAATGTCCTGTTTGACCGAGTATTTGCTTTGCATCTAGTATCTCCTGTGGTGTCCTTCTGAATATTTCTCTTTCTGTAATATATTTTTGGCAGTGACATAGAACATGTTCTACTGAGTCCTCCTCCTGACAATACTCACACAGACCTGTGGGATGTTTTCCAATGAGATGTACTGTCTTGTGTGACTTATGACTTATATATACAATCATCGTACTAGTAAATACACGAAAACTTTTCGTTATTCAACTATGGCGAAGATCTGGCTTCTGAATATTAAGTGACCCACGCAACGTGTCCGTCACGTAACCTAATTACATATTCATGATCACAGCCTTCAAAAAGGAATGCCAATCAATGTGTATGTTGGATATACACTGTATTGCCAAAAGCATTGGGACACCCCCTTCTAATGAACAGATTTGACTACTTTAATCATTTCCACGAGTACAAATCTTAATGTTTAAGCATATAATGATATTCTAGTGTGAAGGAGTGACAAAATCTCATCTCCAAACAACAATGATTTGTACATATGGGTACCGTACAGTCATTTTAAACACTTCTAAAACTGTTGCAACAGAGATATTTTTTTTATTATGTTTCCTCTTTGTTGCCACAGTTTTGGAAGTGCCTTTTTTTTTTGTTCTAAAGAAGGGTGTGTCCTAATACTTTTGTCCATTGGTGTTTGGTGATGAGTTTTTGGCTCAAGGTCTGCATTTAAAGTCACACCAGAGGTGTCCAGCTGGTTTTCTGCAGACCTGTCAAGTTCTTCCACACTGACTGAATCAATCATTTCTTTTTGAACCTTGAATCATACACAGAGGCATTGTCATGCTAGAATAGAAAAGGATCCCGTCTAAACTGTTGCTATAAAATTAGAAGCACACAATCCCCTAGAATATCATTATATGCTTAAACATTCAGATTTGTACTCGTGGAAATGACTAAAGTAGTCAAACCTGTTCATTAGAAGGGGGTGCCCAAATACTTTTGGCAACATATTTGGTTTAATGTAGGAAAAGTCACTACAGAAAGGGGAAAAATCTTAAAAAGAGGTTGATAACATTTTAAACATATCATTAAAGAAGAGGACCATACAATAAAATTTAATTGTTCTCTTTTAAAATTAATATTCTAATAATAGTAATAATAATAATAACATTTACATTTATGCATTTGGCAGATGCCAAATGCATAAATTAATTAATTTTAACAACAAAATTATTTTAAATTATTTTAACAACAACAACAGTAATACAATATATAATAATAATATATAAGATATATTCAGTATAATATATAAGATTGTATATCTATTGCCATGCAAATAAAGCTCCATTAAATTGAAAAGATTCATTAAGCCATCAGACTAGGGCCCAGAGAGTCTCTATCAGCCAATCAGGTGCGCCTACCGCGCCAACGCAAATTTACGTCATTAATGTTAATGAGCTGAGCCTTCGGTGTAGTAGAATTCGAACGTAGGTTTGGCTGACGCCAGTTCCTGGGCGTGGTTTATCCGCGTTCCTCAACTCTTTCCTCGGGCTGCGGGAGTGTGAGGCTGCCGCTGTGGATCGTGGATCAGAGGAAAGACATGTATCAGTTATGCGCCACAGGAGCCAGAGATCCACTCAGTAACGAGGCCGGTGAGTTGCGCCGTGTGTGTGTGTGTGTGTGTGTGTGTGTGTGTGTGTGTGTGTGAGTGAGTGTGTGAGAGAGAGAGAGAGAGAGAGAGTGTGTGAGTGTGTGAGTGAGAGTGAGTGAGAGAGAGAGTGTGTTTCTTTCTCAGGGCTTTGACTTTGAGTGTGTTTAGGGTGTGTTCGACATCACAAGACGCTTTTAAGAGACCAAAGAGACAAGCTTTAATTCTCCACCCACGGCAACCCCATTATACTGCAGGCCTAGCACTGTGTGTGTGTGTGTGTGTGTGTGTGTGTGTGTGTGTGTCTTAATTTAGTCTATGAATTAATGAATTATTATGTTATGTTATTATGTTTGTGTGTTGTGTTACCTGTGGTTGTGTGTTTATGTGTTGTAGCCCTGAATCTGAACTGATTAATGTACCATCTTGTATAATTTTTGTACGTATTATAACATGTAATGTATATAATGTACGTATTTTTTATTATAGGGCCCCTTAGACCAAGGGTCCGGAGACCCACAAGGGAGAACTAGGGGGTAAAAGTTCAGGGAAAAACAGTGTAAAAATAAGTAAATCATTTTAAAGGGGTCATATGATGCTGCTAAAAAGAACATTATTTTGTGTATTTTGTAAAGTTAAAAAAACACATTATTTTCCACATACTGTACATTATTATTAGGGATGCACCGATATGAAAAATTTGGCCGATACCGATAACCGATTATTCTTTATTTTTGAAAGCCGATAACCGATATGTTGGCCGATAAATCTATATCCAAATTGTTATATACTTTTTGAGAGCCTGATTACAAAAAAGGTCTCATCATTAAAAGTCACATCCCAAACACTTCAACATAAGCAGCCTAGTTTGAACGGTGTACGTTTTAAAAATATTTTTACTCTCCCATTACCAAATTTAGTCATAAAGTCTTACAAATAAATAAAATAATGCATAAATGATTTCTAGTCGTGTCCTCTTTTGGAAGACCAAACAAAGTAGTTTCGCTTTCACAACGAAAAACACAGTGGCCTAGCGTGAGGGGAATCCCCGGCTTAGCGTGCGCTGAGGCCGGGCTAGCGTGAGCTGAGGTGGCGGAGTCAAGAACGGCGCGCCCGGCAGATGCAACGAATGATCAGCAACCCCATGTGACGGACCCCGGGCTGGACTCCGCTTTGTCCACGGTGAAAGTTGATGTATTCCTCAGCGACCAGCACAGATCAGCTCTAGGCATGACGAAGTGGATATCGTCCTCTTTTGGAAGACCAAACAAAGTAGTTTCGCTTTCACACTGAAACACACAGCGTACATGGCTGCAGCGTCAACAATACTACAGCGAGAATAAAAGTTACGCCTTCTTTCTTTGCGTGAACATTTGGGCGGCGTTATGCAAATCTTCCCACATCGTGCTGTAGGTATGTGGGGGGCGTGTTAGAACGAGCCATTTTAGGTAGGTGTGGCTGACTCTTAACTTTTATAAAGAATATCTCTTTGGATTTGAGACTTTAGTCTTTGCAACTTTACAGATCTTCTTTATGCACCAAGAGCTTGTAACACTCCAAAGAGAAAGGAAAAATTGAAATCGCATCATATGACCCCTTTAAAAAACGTAATAAATGTAATTAACTGAAACTGAAAGTTAACTGTCTTTAACTGAAAAATTTGTATTTACTATTGTCATTTTGCATTATTGACACTATTTTCCTAATTAATGCTGTTCAGTTGCTTTGACACAATCTGTATTGTTAAAAGCGCTATATAAATAAAGGTGACTTGACTTAATTAAAACAAATTGAAAATGACTAAAACAAAAGTATAAATAATTAAAAATAAAATGTAATAAATAATACATCTAACAGATCAGTACTACAATGTGTAGAAAAAAATGCAGTAATGTAAAGGAAACTAAATATTTTCCAAATATCGCACATATTTGTAATAGTATAAATTAGGTGTTTATAGTATACATAGGAATATATAGCTGCATTTTAGGATGGGAGGTTCCTTACGTGAGAATGATGATATTTGAGGTTTTGAAGCACCTAAAATACGGAAAACCCCCTGCTTTAGACTGTTAAATTACAGCCTGACGCTGATATAAAGCCGGTTCAGAAATAAAAATACAAGTGTTTTTCTCTACCTAATGTAGAAATAAAGTGATTTTGAGACACTCCCTCCTGGGCCTGTTGTGGCTTAGTGGTTAAAAATCTGGGCTATTAACCTGTTGGTTGTAGATTTAAACCTCAGAAGGGTGAAGAGTGTACCGTCATTATGCAACTGAACACTTTACATAAATATGGATCTGTTTTTCACCCAAAGCGGTCATATGATTTAAAAAAAATAAGACCGATTCCTTTACCGTGCCTTTTCCTCCATTTGCTTTCATTGTAGTTTAGTCAGTTTTGTCCTAGAAGGTATTTGCTCTGGATGAGGGTTAAAGTTTGACCCTGAGGCGAGAGATATGTGTGTTTTGAACAAGTGCGGGCCTGGTGTTTTGTCTCGGCGCATGTGAAGTTGTCTTTGTTTAGCTTGAGCAGCAGCATGTGTTCCAGGAAGCATGCTTGATCTGAGCAGGACACTCCCGTAATTGACTGGCTGCAGTGTGGTGTGTGAAACCCAAAGTCTGTGTGTCTGTGGGACACCACACACCTCTGACCCCATTAACTGCATGCACAAACTGTACACGGTCATGTCTTTTTTGCATGAAAGAAATCAAGAAAAGTAGTTCTTGTGCACTGTATTCCAAGTCTTCTAAAATCATATAATAGCTTTTTGTGAGAAACTGGCCATAATTTAAGCTAGAGCTGTCTTATTTGTGAATGAGTCATTCAAGTCAGATCTTTTTAGTGAATCAGTTTATACCGGTTCTCAAAATGATTCATTCACAAATTGAATTGATCCAGTTTTTGAGATCTCAGTGGCTCTGCCTATACACATTTTATATAAAATGTATGTATTATATGTAAAACTAATTATAATACATTTATATAGATATTTTATTAAATAGAAATAATGTATACATTTTTATTATATATAAAATTATATAAAACTCTATGTAATGGTATATAAGGTCAGTATCAAAGACTAACAAAAAGATATTTCAAAATGGCAAAATCATAAAATATATTATAAATAAAATAACATAAATATAATACTGCTATATACTATTAATATAAAATATATTATTTATATAAAATAAAAATATATGGAATTTATATTTTATATATATATCAAATGATATATAAAATTCACTAAAACAAGTGTCTTAGATCTAAGATATTATGTTTTTTTCCATTACTGTAATGCATCTTTTGCTTAGTAGATAAGTGCAAATTATTCTCTGTGCTAATTGGAAATATGTTTTTGGAAGACAGCTGTTTATTTCACTTTGCTCTGCTGAAAGTGTGGTTAATACTCAAATGCACGTTTAATTGCTTTGAGTGGTTTAACTCCATCTGTATACTTTGGAGTCAGTCTTGCTGGCATTTAGGATAGTGGTGAGAAACAGCCAGCGTTTATTCCAGTGTCATTATAAAAGCGTTTCCATAGAGGAGCCATAGGATTTCAACAGACATGCATCATCATGTCAGATTTCTGTAAGCGATCATGTTGTCGGAGCTATTGCTCTCATGGGCCTGCGAAGACAATTTGACACATTAAAACCTCATTTGTCTTTCTGTATCTCAGTGTTGTTCAGCTCTTTTGCTGACAGGACAGTGTGTGGTGGTTAGGGAAGGTGCACGATCGTGTGTGTTTGGGTTGTGTCCATCTTTTATACCAGCCGTTAGCAGCAGATGGGGACAGCATGCCCTTGGGGAAGCTAAACAGAGATTGAGTTTAACAACAGACCCTTTGTGTGTGTTTGTGAGATGCACCTGGAGTTCACAGGACTCGGGACAAAATGTTGTACGGAAGAAGAGTTAATTTCATGTGTGTTCACTCACAGGCTTTAAAATCATGCCAGTAAGTTTTTTCAGAATGGCATGAGAAGAGCTCTAAGTATTGATGATCTGTAATATGCTGGGCAGTTTTTCCAGTAACAAATATACATTAATGTGAGGATAGATAGGCCTATTTTACCATTTATTTCCTATTTTAGATACAGCAAACCGGCATGGGGATCATTGTGATTTTTTTTTTATTGTACCTCTCTAGTGCTGTCCACAAAACCAAAACTATTTCTATCAGCCTTCAGTTCTTTGCTGTATTGATCAAGATGTTCCATTATAGAAGGTTCTTTCCTATATAGTGATCAAGATGTTCCATTATAGAAGGTTCTTTCCTATATAGTGATCAAGATGTTCCATTTTAGAAGGTTCTCTCCTATATAGTGATCAAGATGTTCCGTTATAGAAGGTTCTTTCCTATATAGTGATCAAGATGTTCCATTTTAGAAGGTTCTCTCCTATATAGTGATCAAGATGTTCCGTTATAGAAGGTTCTTTCCTATATAGTGATCAAGATGTTCCGTTATAGAAGGTTCTTTCCTATATAGTGATCAAGATGTTCCATTATTAAAGTATTTTTTTGCCATATAGTGATCAAGATGTTCCATTATAGAAGGTTCTTTCCTATATAGTGATCAAGATGTTCCATTATAGAAGGTTCTTTCCTATATAGTGATCCAGATGTTCCATTATAGAAGGTTCTTTCCTATATAGTGATCAAGATGTTCCATTATAGAAGGTTCTTTCCTATATAGTGATCAAGATGTTCCATTATTAAAGTTTTTTTGCCATATAGTGATCAAGATGTTCTTTACTATATAGTGATCAAGATGTTCCATTATAGAAGAATTTTTGCTATATAGTTATCAAGATGTTCCGTTATAAAATGATTTATTAAATGATTTTTGCCATGTAGTGATCATGATGTTCTATAGAATGTTATTTTCTGTATAGTGATCAAGGTGTTCTGCTATAAAATGTTTTTTGCCATGTACTGTAGTCAAGATGGTCCATAATAGAAGGTTCTTTGCCACAAAGATATTAAGATGTTCCATTATA